CGCTCTGCGAAAAGTCTAGGTTTCAAATTTAGCAGTTCTGCATATCCCCTGGGTATCTACGTGCCGTTGCTCCATTGTTCATAGATTATCTCAAAGGTTATATATAGGACTAGTTCCATTTCATCGGCAATGTTTAAGGGATAACGGCAGAGACTGGTCAAAATCTTTATACATCAAAGGCTACCACTATTGGACAGAGGAAATGATTGGGTCGGTTAAATGAGTACATTATTGTGACGCGCTCTGTCCGCAGCTGTCACTATGTGTTATCTGGTCAAACGAGAAGCTTTCACCAGCCAAGTAAATATGGTACCATGGTTTATAGCGTACTAGTCACCGTAGCAGGGCTGAGTTTCACTCGCTAACATGCTGAGAAGACCTACACTAATATCTTAACGTGTGCTTTGCCCGTTCTCATCGCTTATCATTTCCTTGCAGGACAACAGGCGTGATACAGAACCAAACTTGGCTATCTATAGCGTATACAGGGCAGTCTTTGGGCACCTCACGATGTATAACATTAGCGATTCGACTGATGCATTACACCTATGTTGTATCGTTTATGACGCACAGTTGGAACATGGAATCCATACTAATTTTTCACCATAATACTTATGAGATTCAATTGAATTGTGTTTGCCCTGTAAGGGAAGTATGGAAAATCTTTTTTTTCTATAGAATTAGTTGCATCAGCAAAAAAGTTAGAAAGTAAAACAAGTTGCCATCGCGATAGCTGAAGTTTGTAGGTTGTTCATTGGATTCTACGATGTTCGCTGGTCGAACGAATCACATGAGCCATGGTTGTTTCGCATAGTATAATTATGTCAATGTATGGGAAAACTAACAAATTCCTTTAGGTATCAATTACATTAATGTGTAATGTAATTAACTGCTATCATATAACCCAAAATAGGGTGTTGATAAACGGTGGGATATATCGAGCCTGAGACTTTACAAACCTAAACTCCACTTTACTAACCCGCTTAAGTGAGTAAAAGAGAGTAAAAAGGATCCGTCTGGTTACGATCTTCAATCTTCAAACTGTTATAGGAAATGTAAAACATTCGAGGCATTACTAACATGTAGTACTTGGTTGAGGTTACTCCAACTGAAGCCCATTGCGGGCACTCTAGTATTATCTATTGCTCTCATGGAACGAGTAGTCGAGTAATTGCATGTAACAAGTTTGCCACGCGTTCTGTTTACAAGGTGTGACTCGATGCGCGATACTTAAGCTATTGTTATAAATTCCTCAAAACATTTTATGATAATATTGCTACTATTGTGTCACCTTGCTAGTCATTGCTAGGATATATTTATAAAGCTATATTTAAAACTTACCGCTTTTATTGAATGTTGTTTTTAAGCAATACATTTTATTTATGTGCCGTCAGCACTAGGACATAGGCTTATCGGCTAGCTTTTGACGGCCTTTCAGAACAGGCCAGCTCCTTCACATGTTAAAAAACTTGCTTGGTTAATATCTGGTGAAAATTTTCCTCCTGAACCAGCTACCAGCGTCAAGAAAAGACACGAATTCTGAACACTTAATAGCAAGGCAGCCTACCTCTGTGAGTGGAAACCGCTCGGGTCTGAGGTGAGAGTTAGACAGTCTAGGAATCTCTAGTCTTCTGTTGTGTTTCGTGTACGCAGTATAATAAATGTCGTGGCTGTGCATATCTAAACAGCGGAACAAGGGATTTTGAAAGACGAATTTCCAACCGTATAGCTGATAAATGTTGGAGTAAAAAGCTTAAGCCATCACAGTATAATGTTCGTATAACTTTACCCGTCTTTAAATATTCATGTACTGAATTCTTGTGCCATTCAAACGTGGGTTCAACTGAATTTAATTGGCCAAGATGATTGACTGATTCTCGAGTTATCCATTTTCACAATACATTTACTTTCATGTCTGTCCACTACAGTTAAACATACGTGAGCTGGTCGAAGTTCGAAAGCGGTGCCTACGTTCGAAGTTAAATACTTTGTGTTATGTATTGTAGAAGCAAAGCTTACCGGTAGTTAAAGCAATCCATCTTTAAACGACGCGCGAGTAAAACGCTTCGTTTCGAACCGTATCAGCAATAAAGTCAGGGTGACCAAGGCTTATTTCGAAATACGCTTCGTTCTTATTCGAAAACGCAGCGAAGTATGAATACAGCAGCTTAGATATTAGCCACCACATTTCTTAATTCAGTTGACTAATCTATATCAATAGGAATATTATTAAGGTGTATTACGGTTTGGATCGTGTGACGATGCTGATGATTTGTTATAACGATACTGTTCAATTCCGCCTAAAAGTGCATTGCACCGCTCGAATGATATAAACAGTAGTATAATGACGTGGCATAAATTGAACACCTAGATTGACTTTTAGCCGGGGAATGTCGAACGCTTTTCGATTTAGGCACGCCTTTTTAAAAGAGCCCTGGTTAATTATGCAATAACTTTATTCAGAAGCACTGGTATTACAGGTTCCTATGATGTATACGCCGACGGTGATCTTCGTTGGATAGCATGTATATTCCAATGTATTCCAAGGTGACAACCCCCATAGATACGAAACCCCTCAAATGCTCCCATTTAATATGGCTAGAGTGGAATATCTTTACTTCTAGCAAGTGCAGCGCTAATACGAACTAGAACTCATTCGCAGGCTTTGCCCCACGCTATTAAACACGTCTCATTATATTTTTTCAGTGACAAAAGACTAATTATAACAGGGGTAACGTCCCAATAACCTAATAAGATGTAACCTAATAAGTTCTTCCTCAACACGGTTTATTACGCAACACACGTTGAATACGTGCAACTAGAGGAGGTCTTCTTCTTCCTGCAACATAGTTTAAAACGTGAGAAGTGATAAACGTTGCTATGGTCTATTATGAACAATTAAATTAGTACTGCACTCTACGAAAAAAGCAAGCTCTTCAGTCAGGGCTAAAAGTATTTGGCCAAAGATGAAACTCTGGCGACCCACAAAAAATAGGCCCAATTAAACTATTTCAAGGGCTGATTTAGGTCTGGAAAACACACAGACCGACAAACCTCTAGTATTATAATAGATGTTCGAACATATATAATTTAAATCGAGATCTTGGGTAATACTCAGCGCATGACATATATGCTGTATACAATTGTTGCGTTTCTCTGATCAACCAATCAACCATCCAGATATTTCTGTGTTCAGCGTCTAGTAGATATGCCGTTGGGCATTACTTGGACGATTGGCCGCTCTCAGCATGATGCGAAATATGTTTAGGCCCAAATTCGAACCCAGATTACCACGTGTATCCGTAGCAGGTAAACATGTTACGGTTAGGTCCTTGTAGACATTTTTTTTCCGCAGTCTTTGATGCATAGTAGATTTTTGCGTAATCACGTGCTTTCTTATTACATTATGATCCTATGCCAGCTTTGTCTGGAAACAGGTCTTTACAGCTGCTGGAAAACGCTGAGAACGAGTGTTAAACAAGTATAAGTTTGACGCATGGCAAGCATTTTAGTTTGCAGAATGTTTAAATTGTTTTGGAAAGGTTGTAAGATATAACGGGTAGGTTGTCTACTGCTTACCAATAGAAATAACTGAACATTTATAGGAAAGTAGACCATTTTGGAGAAGAATCGAGTTGCTTTAAACGAAAGCCTTAAACGCAGTGCTCCTTGATGATCGTTCGGCAGACCACATCGTTCTTATGCGAATATAATGAAGTTAGCTCATGAAGTTCAGCATAATCAATGAAGGCTTGTGATACGTTGCAGTTTTGCCGTTACCGTTATGTTCTAGCGTGCACGCGCAACGTGTTATTTGTTACCTTGCATGTACATAACAATCAGATAAACTCGTTGTCTAAGGCTACAGCGTTAGCCATTATTGCATATATCTCCAGGCGCCTAGAAGTAATTCGGGGCAAACTTCCGTATATTAGATACGCTTATGCGGTATTCTACAGGGTGTACATTTATAGAAATTTTCTACATATAAACAAAACATCTGCGAATGAAGTACTTAGAACGCATGACCAATCTTTACCGCAAAGCAAGATCTACATTTTCGTATTATGCCTTCAAAAGTTAGGTTTTAGGCAAAAAAAAAAAGAAAACGATCGCAGGTTCGAGCCCTGATAAGTGTAGGAGTGCTGACGCATTTGTCGGAACTCACATGGTGATGTGTAGTTCTGCTCGCTGATTTTCCCTATGTAGTTATTTGCTGCGCTAATATCTGTGGCCATTCGTAGATCAACAAACGTATGCGTTACCGTGTCGTCAGATTCTTGGTTCACGGCCCAGTCTTTTCAGCCAAAAAATTAAACGTCGAGATGTACTCTTCATTTTTGATTGCAAGTATAATTATATGCATCTTAGCACCAGGGTTTGTAGGCCAAGGATTAGATGCCCTGAAATTTTTCGGCAATGAAATTCTTCTCAGAGATTATTAATAGGTTAAGATATTGATTGAGCTCCACAATGTTTTGATTCATTACAACAACACCAATAAGCCGGGGACGTTGTATTCGGATCAACCAAATGAATTTTCCCAGCTTTTTCTTTCCTGATTCGGCCTTATTTAAACATTTGCCACGGTATCGTCTCTGGTCCATCGAAGATCAGCAACCGTTTACGTGTGATCGCTTAATTAGATCTGCGCTTTGGGACCCAATCTAACAGATACGTCTCAGCCAGGACAAGCATATGAGTTTCCGAGGACATTTGCTACGCCGTGACATACATAGAGATTGACTCTCCCGCTAGATCCAAGTCACCCCTTTGAGTAAGTAAGAGCATTCTGGATCGTTACCAGACAGTTGTACGGTAACGAACTGAGTGCGCTTCCTTGCACCACTACGACAACAGCTGATCTAGACTGGTCTACTTGACATGGCAGTTGGACTTATCATACTCTGACAAGCAGCACTATCAGCTCAGAACAAAAGCATTGCGTAGCGTTGACAAGCGACGACACAACCGATCTCGATTCATGATGCGATCAATTTTCCAGCATCGCGACTGCTGACAAGATCAACCCGGACCAACGTATAGGCTTCGAGGCCAAACGTCGTCTGTTTCGTCGCTGCTATTATCGCTCTATGGTGAATCCTTTGCTCTAGGTGGACCGAATGAGCTCGATTAGGAACTCCTTAAGCTCTTCCACTAGTTATCTTCACTCTCTGACGTTTTACGGCCACGACTTAACAAGCTAAGGATAAGTCAAATCAGCGGGGACAGTTGTTACAATCGCGTCCTCTTTAGGCGGCTTGTTCGAAAGGAATCTTGTGAATAACCAGGGCACTGTAGCAAGTGAATGACCGGTGTTCCTGACATAGTGATATAGGCCAGGCAAGACTGGTGTAACATAGCACAAGTGAAGGGAATATGTCGAGCTGATACTGCCGAACGAAGTAAACAAAGGAAAAAACTAACGAAGCGTTGAAAAACCAAGGCTGATTTGGGAAGCACAGTACATTTTGAGTGGCAATGGGGGTTGCTCATTTCGCCTTTTTGGACTATGTTGTCCTAATTGGATTTCTGTTGATTTCAACGTTGATCGGTCTGTACTTTGCCTGGAAGGATCGAAAAAGCACAAGTAACAAAACATTTCTAACTGGCAACAAAGAACTGGGTAAGTATTGTTTTGCCATGAGGTAAGTTTAGCATATATATGTACGCATTGGTGTATCATCACGGGTGTACGCCCGGATCATTCAATTGAATCCTTTTATTAATTGTATCCTCATCTAGAAATCTGCAATGCAAGCTCTCAACAGCGTTGTACCAGTTCTGTATATATGAGTGGACGCACTTTATGCTGGGAGCCAGCCTTGATGAGATGCCTAACGGCGTAAGTGCCGGACTTAAAACTCGAAACTTTTAAGTATGTTTGTATTGCCATTAAGTATCTTTAGAGCCACTGGCGCGGCGGCTTACACGGTCAAGCCGATCTTTCAAAGGTGGTACTTGAAATCCGGTTAGGGGCTTGTACTACACAAAGTTGTGAGAACATGATTTCGTAAAAAAGTAAGAACAAAAGAGTACTAAAATAATTAAAAAACACATTATTTTTTCTTAAGTTTTAGTACGTTTTTGCATTAGTACTTTACGAATATTTAGAGAAAATCAGGTAGATCTAATGAAATCAAATGTAACAGTTCTGTCTCGGATTGAGCCCCAAAACTGAGATCGGTGTTATGGTGTTCTGAACCCAGAGTCATGCCCGTTGAAAAGAATGGATAAATCAACAAAAAAAAAATAAATAAAGCTTCGCGTTTTCACTAACGCGTCACTACACGGACGAGTGCGTGCGAACCCTGTTGACATCCGTCGGCACAGCGTGCTGTCAATATAGTAGCGCTTATCAGAAGGCTGATGAGCATACGCACCCTAGCATGTTTTGTTTGAAACGGATATCTTTGAAGTTGGCTTTACTATTGAAATCTTCAAACACCAGGCTATATTTGTAAGGCCCGACGCAGCCCCAAATGGTGAGCGACCCAGTTCGAAATGAGGGACACCTGGTCCATAAAAGGGTAAAAAAGTGCGTCCTATTATATGCTAAACTATAATACATGAACACTTTAAATTAGCCGATTCAGGAAAAGATTAGGAGAATGCTGAAAAGCTCTAAGGAGTAGGTTTAATATGTTGAACGCTGACCACGTCTAGAGCAATCAAACTAACACGCAACGTCTCTTCGGTGCAGAACCTTGTATCTGTGCGCCAATCCCTGATACTGGTTTTAAACGGATCCTATTCATTTAACGAGCCAAAGCCAAACCTGTCCTGGCTTGAACTTGTCTGAGTATGAATCTAGGGATAATCTTAAGCTTAATGTGGATAGCGCTGTCTTCAAATAGCTGCCCTATGACTTGACAGTATTACTGACGTATCAGACAAATTACGCGCATATTAGTTTATCAAAGATATTCGTCCGCTGACCGCACGTCGACCCTTACGGTACACTCTTGCGGTATATAGTTATGCGCGGAAGACCTAGATGTTAAAATCTATACGACAAAAACGTATGGTAAGAAATGCGTGACACCCTGCGCAAAGTCAAGCTTTCAATAGTTAGAGAATTTTCTGTCGATACGATGAGGGTTGTGTAGAATCCAACGGGAACTTGCACGGGAATTAAACACTAGCTAAGCGAATCTTTTTCGACTCGGAAGGACATCAGCGCTCTCGGCCCTACAGCCAATACGTATTGTTTAAGTTACTTTTCTATCAAATTTGTGTTCACATTCAGTTATGTTAGCATCAAAAACTTTCATCATGTGCCAATACTTCACACAGATATTTTCATCCTTATAGCAATGTAAACTCTTTCATTCGAAGACAATGCGAAAATTGGAACAAATACGACCCAAAGCATAAAATAGAATGGGCCTTTCGAAAAATGTTCTTAATCAACGGTACTAATGTTATTTTTCTACGTTGTGCGATTTATTCGGTGCTGCTAGGAACAATCAGATATGCCATGTTAACCCCGTAAGCCCGTCGAAAGTGAACTAAATAGAATTCGTCCGAACTCTGGAACATGACTCTTATATCTGCCACCAACCCAGAGAACTGAAAAAAAAAGTTTTTTTGAAGTATGGGTATCTCGCTTTATTGATGCATGGCGTACATATCCAACTACTCGAATTGGCGACATTTTGAAACGTGTGTCCAGCCATTGTCGGTCCTTTGACTGGGTCATCAAAGCGTATCTAATAAGATGATGTAATACTCTGTGCGAAATACAATATTTGAACGACTTACACCCCCTTAGATATGACAGATATGCTTGATATTTGTAAATAAACGTATTCCGATTGGTTATTCTTCTGGTACGCATATACTTTTCATTGATTCTCCCGATTTACGATAACGAAGAGCCTAAAAAAGCGACAAAAAACGTACCCCCACTCAATTTTCAGGATGGATTCCGGTATCGTTTTCAATGATGGCTTCATTCCTCTCATCAATTGCAATTCTTGGACTTCCTTCGGAGGTACGTACAGTTTCTGGATAAGTGTGCTGCATTGACCGATTACTCCCACGTGGATACTTTGAATTCAACGTTTCTAATTTTCAAAGGATTGTAAATTTCCAGTAACTTGGCTTCATGAAGGGCTAATAGTGTACTGAAGGTCAATTAATTATCCGCGTACAAGTAATCACTTCGATGAAAATTGTAAACTTGTCAAACTTGTCCGAAATTAGGTTTACAATCGAGGCGCAATTCTCTGGATGGGAGCTGTATCGGCGGCTGTTGCAATCGTGATCGCCGCAACCGTTTTTCTGCCAATGTATTACAACATGGATATTACGTCAATCAACGAGGTAAGCCTTGCATATATAGGTTAGGCAACTTCAAGGCGACCGATAGTTCTCTTACATTGTGACCTCTCACCGGCCGAAAGGCCATAACCTTAAAATTATGAAGACTATTTTGTTGTAATTATTGAGTGTAAAGAAACGTTATCATTTAAAATTATATAAAGATAATTATAGTTATATTTAATTCCAGTATCTGGAAAGACGATTTGACTCGCCTCAAGTTAGAAATCTCGCTGCAGGCGTGTTTGTCCTTCAAACGGTAACTAAAAATAATGGAAATTTCTTACTTTCATGAATAATAGTGCTAAAACTCTTTGGCAATGATACATTTATTACTAGAATCCTTATTGTATACTTATAGACGTACTTTGTAAACTGTTGAGGATCATTACGTTATAGATCGGAGTGTCCCTTTATATGACTATTCCTAGAGCAAACCCCCTAAAACATGAGCAATACCTATACTGCTTACTAATATTAATATTGAGGAGTTACGAGAACCTGAAGCCATTCATTAGACAGCGTTTTATAACTCAACAGTATTAGGAGATGCACGGGATCAACGTAGACAACCGTCCGTTATGGCGCTAACAGTTACGCTGCTCCTCGATGTCGTCATGATTTTATTTTATATCTACTAAATTGATTGTAAATCGCGAGGGGATATTTTCAGCTGTTGTATATGGGTGTCGTGCTCTACGGTCCTTCTTTAGCACTTGGTTCGGTTACTGGAATTCCCGTTTGGGTTTCAATTCTTCTCAATGGATTAGCCTGTACGTTTTACACCGCAATTGTGAGTTATGCCGAGTACTTCCTTTCGTTTGCACAGAGCTGGAAATCAAACCGGACAGAATTTCGAATTGCCATTTTTTTTATGAATGCAATCAGCCTAACATATTATGTTAGGTATATATCTCTATATTTTATGTTTCCTGTAATAACTGGTAGTACATTATGGCTTGAAGTTAGTCAAACTTCTTATTGTTAGCCAAAATTTTGTTCCTCCTGTCTAAATGTCTGCTCTGTTTCCATGGCTTAATTCGGTTAGGGCGGTATGAAAGCTGTAGTCTGGACTGATGTGGTGCAAATGATCCTCATTTATGTTGGCTACATTATGGTTTGTGCGTCGGGCATCTATCACGTGGGCGGAATCAGAAAAGTACTTGAGCTAAACAATGAAGGAGGCAGGCTCATCTTCGTTAAGTGAGTTAGTTATTTATACCAGCCATTAGTGTGAAACTCTGTATAATAATTGCCTCTTTCTGGAACGGACAGAATTATTTCGAAAAATTGTGCACTTTTTATCGCCAAATAGGACTCGGAAGCAAATCTTAATTTTCATTTGTCGAGAAATTGTTAGTGAGTAACCAGTATCATAAACAGTTTCTTGATTAATCATCAGGGACAGAAAAGAGTGATTTTAACGCTTCACTATCTTGCGATTCACGAAAACAATAAGTACCGTACATCGCATAACAGTATCTTGGAAACATCGTTCATATTTTCGTGTTTCTGTTTGCAAGACAAGGGGAACGATTGTTGATATAACAAATACAGAAATAAGTTCAAAAGGTATCTAGAATATAATTGTATGCGAACTTATAACACTAGAGATCACAATAGTAAGAACCAGTAAATGAAGGAACATATGATATTTATATATCAGTGAAATAGAGTCATTTTTTTATTATTATACGGATTTTATTGAAATAAAAAATCTTCACACCGGAGCAGGTGCTTTTTGTCATATCACCATCCGTAATAACACTGGTGTTATACCTTGGTTCAAAAATGGAAATTCGTCAATATGACGTTTTAACAGTTTATCGTACCTGAAACTCTACTGATAAGCATAAGAAATAATTTTGAAAAACTATTTTTTTTTTCAATTATATCAATCACAAGTAGATAACGCCAGTACGTTCCATACCAACAGTTAAATTTCCGTTTAAAAGATTTACCATCTTCCAAAATAAGACTTCACGATAGTTCAAATCCGTTGCGCTGTTTGAGGAGTTCTAAGTAAACTGTCGGAAACTGCAAGTTTAAGCATCATCGAAAGCAGATAGACGGTTTTAAGTACTACTTGAAAACGCTTCTTCAAGCTATCACTTTTTTAGACTTTCAAGCTCAAATATCAAGTCACTTTTTTTAAAAGGCATTCTTGAAGCAAACCAAGTGTAGAGGACTTCAAAGTATTACCATAAGCGGTTTATTAAGAAATGAAAAGTCCTATCAATTTCATAACGCGCCCTAACTTATTAGCTCAGCTGTACGGTGCTTTGTATCAAGATATATAAACTTTGTCCAGTTGTGCCTATAAGCATCCTAAAACAAACGTAATTAGGTTATTTAATTCTGTAAACGTCCTTATTAGAGCTACCTAGATAACCAGTGGATATAGCGGCATTATGTGGCAGCCGTTAGGCGGGCGGTCGGTTCCGCCTGTACACGACTAACGGCTTGACGGTCGAATTTCTGAGTCCAAATACTAATTACTTACGTTTGCTGCTTTAACCTCTAACCTCGACACGTTTGTCGTAGCTGGAGCCTGAACCCGTATTTTACGTACACCACATGGAACGTGACCCTATCGTGGACTGTTGGCTGGATGGCAGCTTACTGTGCCAGTCAAACACAGGTGCAGAGATATTCGGCCATTGCTTCTCTTGCGCAAGCCAAAAAGTACGTTGATCGTATGTTTATCAACACGTGTCAATAGCAAACGGTGAAACATAGCTCTGGTAAAAGTTCAAGGGAAAAAAATTATCTCGGCTTTACGACTAGGCGACTAAGAGAAAAAACTAATGTGATTCTGGCCATAATAATAAAAAAAAAACTACATGAGATTTCGAACGTGAGATGAGCTTCGAAATGAGAAAAATTAAGTTGTATCAGTTGAATGAGATCATGTTGTTCTTAATAGAATAGACTTACAACGACATTCGTAAGTATTTTAGTCATTTTCGTCACATTTTATTTAAAGCAGAGCTCTTCTATGGAATATTCCTGGAGTTACGTCCACTCTGCTGTTATCTGTCCTATCTGGCCTGGTGCTTTACGCCGTCTATGGACACTGCGACCCACGTATTACGGGTGATGCCGACAAGGCCGACCAGCTTATGCCTTTTATAGTCCAGGTACAAACCTCTATTCTAAATCAGACTACCAGGATATATGCACGTGTTACACGCTTAGACAGAATAGACAACATTATCAATACTTGACAGGCCCAACTATTTAACTGGTGAACGTCTCGATGTCCATCAAAGCTTAACCGCTTTCAATTCACTAAGTAAACCTTTCGCCTCTAATAAACTAACTTTTCAGGATCTCCTAAGGGACTACCCTGGATTGTCGGGTCTTTTGGTGGCCTCGGTTTTCAGTGGTTCTCTCTCGACGCTTTCCTCAGGTTACAATGCACTTTCTGCCGTCACGTGGGATGATTTCGTCCGACCCCAAGTTAACATCTCCGACAAACAATCTATATACCTTACTAAAGGCATCGGTATGTTTTCAACGTGGATTGAATTTGCATGCTTTTTAAATATGGTGCGTCTCTATGTAGTAGTAAAAATATCAGCGATTATATTTTTAAGAAAACGCTTATTGCTTACCAGAACACCCATGACTTTAATTTTTTGCGTGCACTCATACTTCTATGAACAAGTATAAGCAATCACCGGTCCGTTTGGTCTTCATTTTCCACTGCAGCTGCAATGTATGGAATTCTGTCTGTATTCATTGCCTTTTTGGCGGAAACAATGGACTCAATCATTCAAGCGTCCTCCTCTCTAATTGGAGCCATGACGGGTCCCCTGCTAGCAATCTTCGTTATGGGCATGTTGGTGCCATTTATTCGGAAAAATGGCGCCATTTATGGCATTTGCCTTGGCTTAGTATTTTCGTGGTGGCTTACACTCGGTTCAATCATTTACCCTCGCGTCGGCGATGATCTGCCAACGAGCAACGCTCAGTGCTTAGCACGTTTCGACAATCTATCCGGTACAGAAAGTGTAATGTCGGAATTGATTACGCGCGGATCGTTCGATGAGCCAAAGACCCCTGACGGAATCCTTGCATTCTACCATATCTCCTTCATCTGGATCACCGGCGTCGGATTCCTTGCCACAATCGTGTTTTCTACTATCATCTCCGCCTTTCTTGGTAATCATAGATGTCAACAATTACATTACTAAGCTTATCAATTAAAATACGCATGCAACCATGTGAGACTATATAGATTTGTCAACAAAATTATTATTTTTGTTAGAGTCAGGGTCAAATACACTTAGTTGCATTGACCTGTCTTACATTTTACTGTGTGTACTTTTAGGGGTTACAAATAAGTCCTGAGAAACGACTATAGTCGGTATTATTTGCTTTCGATTTTCCTTAAAAACTACTTTTTTATATTTTTTGCTTTTTTTTGTAATTCTAAATATATCATATTTTTAATTTTTATCGAAATAAATAGCTACCTGTCCGTAGAAAAACTTTTTTTCAAGTGTAAGATTTTCATCACGGTTCACATCTTTGGCTCAGGAACATATGCTTTAAAACCTAATTCTGATTTACAACAGACAAACGTAAATCTTCGTTTGCGTTACAAGTGTTGTACAAATAATATTGTATTTTTAAAGGTTTTCAGTAATATCCCTATCTAAACGCTTAAAGCTAAATGTCTAGACTCCTTATATGATATCTGAGTTGAATTTGTTCGGGCAACTTTTCATTACCGCGTATAGTGCAGAAGGATAGGTGCACGTAATAAATCTGAGACACTCATTTCTGTCGATCTTAGCCAACATTTGAAATATTCTGCGGAAAGGTTCATATGGTTTAGGACGGCCCCATGACGAAAATTATAGCGCCTGGGTATACCGGTCATCGAGCAACAAGCCCAGATTCTACCGCTAACTTTATGAAACAAGTCAATAACTGGAGATATGCTTATACCCCATTTTGAATCAGAAATGTGGATGCTAACAGACAATTACTTTATCTCATGCTGGAAATCGAGTTTTGATGATGTAATCCTTAGCGGACAGTAACGATCTGATACAGAGTGGTTCCAGACCCACATAAGCGCCCTTTACGCTGCTCGCTTATTAGATCATTGCTTTGAGAGCAGTCTTCAATAACACTATTCTAAAACGCTGTGTTTTACGCCAGTAGATCCAGAACAATTTGAACAGCTTTTCCGTTCGTATTCTTGCTTGACAGATGACAAAAGTAGTCACGTCGATCCACGGTTTATAGCGCCCATTGCACGTCGCTTTATGAGCATGCAGGAAGATTCCTTTAAGATGGCCTCGTATAAGACTGTGTCAACTTCAGAGAATAACGGGGCGTCGCGGCTGTAAAACCAAGATCGAAACGTTCACAGGTTCAACTTACCTAGCACAGGCAACATCTGTAAAGAACAACTGTTTACAACGTGATCTTCGCGCTAATTACACGAATCGGGTAAACAATGCAGAATGCCTTCATTGCTAGAATAGTCTTCAACCACATTTCACGTATACGTCAATCGACATTGGAGATGAAAGTTCCGCGCAAGCGTATATTCATCAGATTTCTCGTACAGAGAGGAAGTTGCTTGCCACTTACTTTGTGCATAGGCATTATATACATGTCTTATACATATAATAAAGATGAGAAGCTGATATTTTTTGTGCGGTATTCTGATAAGTGTGATTTTTCTAGCTCTTCTCTTATTGGAAAAACAAATAACTAAAATGTTCACTTAAATAGTCGCTGTTAATTTGCCATACACAAGGTCAAAGGATAAAAGGCTAACTACAAAAGTAATTTTGTTTCCAAGTTTGTTTATAAGCAATTACTCAAGGAAATGTTGGTTCCATAATACCATATACGAGATGTAACTTTGGGGCCAAATGAAAACTGGATTTCTAAAATGGAAGTTGATTCCAAGCTTGCTTGGACTTCACCCAACTGAATTCACGTGCTGCGCAGCTCGTTTGTATTTGTTGTTGTGATAACTGGCTCGTACGTTTACTTATCACAGGTAACAACAAATAGTGTTCTGTCATATTCTAAGAGTTGTAGAAGCTACAGTAGCAAAAAGGTCCGATCAGAAGCCTATGTAATTAGAGAAAAATATAAATGCGTTGCTCTCTTTAGTAATATTTATCTGTTAAAAAAATGTGCTTCGTCTTTACTAGAATCATTCTTCATTTTCTTCATTCATCATTTACAATGCGACAGTCTTCAGAAGCAATCAACCGCATGCTTCTAGGGCTACATTTCATAGCTCATAGGAATGGTGTGCATTTCTTTAATTGTTCCGAAACAAAACAGATGTCGTCGGCTATATCTTGATAGAAAAACTAAATATAGATTCATCCGCTTTCTTTACTATATACGTACTAATCTCACTGTTCAGGACATAACAGGAGACAGAGGGAATCTAGAACAATAAGGATAGTATAATAGGACGTAAAGCAGGAACTAATCCGCCAATAAAAAAGGCTTTAAAAAAACTCAGTGTTGACTACACTGTTTACAAACATAGCAAACGTTGCGAATTGAAAAATAATGCACTAATCACTTGAGAGGTAGTATTTTTCTTTCGAGCCTTTGCGGGTTAAAGCAGGTTTGTAGGTTAAAGAAATTAAAGCCTTGCAAGTTTAGAATACCATCAGCAACTTAGATGAGTCCTGAGAATTGTATGTTTTGTTGTTAAAAACAAACGAGAAAACAATATTGTTCAAAAGGACAGAAGCATCGAACTATATTCTTGTAGCGTCCATTCTGCTATTCCACTAGCTCTATTGACTGAATACTATCAACTACTGAATAAATAATAAATAACGAAATTTTTAATAGCACTTTAAAATAACACCTTTATTATATACGTACTCAACCCATTAGTGAAACATTTGTAACGTTCTTCGCAAATGTTGTTGGGATGCATTATATATGTATGTAAACGCACATACCTCGATTTCATATTTGAACTTCAGCTGCTGACGGGCTGTTTTCTGCCGAAGGCAACAAACCGGTTTACAGATATGAAACGCTTTTGGCACGATCTAATGCGTTTAGTATATCATAGTCAAATTGTAACACAATGGCTATGCACGTAAACATTGTACCCAAATATTTGAACATCGTACTTTTACTATTTACAAAAGTGTCCGAAATCGTCAATGCGTCGATTCGTTCGTTGTATGACAGAACTGCCCGCACCTCGTTCAGATCGATAGGATGCTCAGAGTAATCTGGCTCGGCTTCTCTATATCTTGTTACATAAGGTCTGATCTTGGTCCTCACACTTGGACAGTGCAATAGGATAGTTTCGGCGCGAAGGCATTCTTGAATGATCGCTGAACCCAGCCTTGTTGTTTCGAAGAGCTGCGCGACTTGAACACATGATGCCAGTACGTAAAATATATGTGAGAGATGATTTTTCCGCCTAGGTGTATCCCAAAGGGCTATCGAACCAAAATGTGTAGCCAAAAGGAAGATCACCTTCGTGTAAATCACTAAAAGGACTTCGCTAAAGATCCTGTTCACCTTTGCGGTCAATAAACGTATTGAGTTTTTACTGCAAGCGACTCTATAGGCCGCGTCATTCGAGATCGGAGTCTTCCTTAGAAAGTCCGAGAGAAATTGAAGTTCGCTCAGTATTACCGACTCACACTGACCGTACATGCAGAAAGTCAAGTACTGTAACGGCCAGACGTATAGGCCACTGATACTTCCTAGTTTTACAAGCAGTGGTTGAGAGCTGAAAGCATCGCGAACAGCGATGTATATATCCAAACCAAAGGAAAAAACACTCAAAAATAGTTGTATGAAAAATGGTCTCGGATTAAAGTTCAAGCTGAATACGCTATTGTAGAATATTATCTCGGAGAGGGAACTTTCGTACTTCATCATGGTAAATCCACTTAAAATCATAATGAGTAGGTAGTTAGCGGTATTTGCCAGAGAAACTAGACAGAGCAGTGATAGTTGTTCCGGCATGTCGTTGTAAATGCCCACGTAAAGGCCAACGACGAACATGCTAAAGGCGACAAATGTTCCAATACGGGGCAAGCACCATAATGGGTGACGGCTGGTTGATACCTGCTGCTTCTTCGCAGAACAGCGTCCAACCCGAACATCAATCCCATATATAACAAACATACCACAGAGTAGTTTCACGTACCGGGGGAACTGAGCAGGAAGACCAGTGTCAAGCTGGCCCATACCTTTAGTCAGCTCAGCCGGGGACTAAACTTTGGTTCGACCGACTCAGCCGTCACATCGAAAGTGGCCAATTCAGGCTGGTTCTACCACTCTACCATGCTGTGGCACCCTATCGATCCGTTTTGCAATACGTAGGCCCTCAAAACACTGCCCGCTGCCCCACACTGAGCCGTCGCCAGAGGATATGTCAATAAACTATTATTTCTCGTTTTCTAACTGCCCCTGTCGAACAAGAAGGATGACAGACCAAAATAATTCCGCCCCTTGCCCCCTTCGGTCTTGCTTCTACCAAGCTGACTAAGAAGTAGCCGATGTGCTAATAATGTACGCATGTGACGACACGCTTCTTCGACCTGCCGAGGACGAAAGACGCCTTGAATCCTCAGGGGTCCGCTTCGATCCAGACACAGTAGAAGATACGCAGCAATTTAGGCCGTTCACAACAAAAGCATAATACAGCAGTAATGTGGTGTAAAGCGATAGAATCCTGCACGCTATCTATCTAATGTACAACAGAAACAAAATCTGCGAAAATGAATCACGCATAACGTAATGTCGATACATCTGCAAGAATAGCTCATTCCGTTGCCCGATAATCGAGGCTGCATTTTTTTGTCAAGCAACAAACCCGACAGCCCCAGACGCTGAGTGGGTATATACCTCACTCCTGTTCGAGCTTTCATAATCACATACATATTACTTTTGAGAGATGCTTTGAAAGACGTTTACGCAAACTTATAGTCGAGCTTTTATTCTGAGAGGGCAAACATCCGCTTCGACATATCGCTGTTGGTAACATTGATCGCACGTGCATAAATGTAGGAACACGATTAAGTAGTTCTAAAGAAATACACTATTTACACTACACAGAATTTCTTCGTACATCATATTATAAGTGTTCTTTCTATAGCGCAAGAAAATCATAAGCTTTTGTATAGGTTGTATACAAGTGCTTTCCTTTATTATTCGTTAATTGTTCGTTAAAGCTTAGTTGTGAGAATTCTTCAGTATTTCTAAGTTCATTTCGTATTATTAAAATGGCCATGTGCCGTTTATCAGACGAAATTTTACGTTTGGAGGTCGCTTAATTGTAAACCTAAGTCTCTGGCAGAAGTTCATATGCCACCTAACTAGGGTTGCACTACCCGTCGAGAAGTACTCCGAATATTTATGGATCTTTTCACAGACACTATGCTGTCTAATATTGTTGGTAGCGATTGTCATTTCATTTATAACAAACGTCTTTGCAGGTGGTATTGCAGGCAAAACCACTGTTCCGTCACTCTCCAAGGAGGGCATACAGATTTACCCCACACTACAGCATCTATGTCTGGATAATGTATTTTTCATCGCATCATTTTTTGTTTGTCTGTTCGGCTAGAGTAACATTAAAAAAAAGATAGTTACCATTTCTTAGCGTTGATGATAAAGCACCTTCGATTTATGGCTGAAAATTAATATCGCATTTTTGCGGAAAACCCGAAGTGTGAACCTTTTTCTACATAACTCGTTGGACTAGCCCTAAGTGACTGTGATTCGTCTTCAAGTTCACAATAATACCGTATGTATAAGTGACGTATTATAGGATATATATTAGCAAAACTTACTAATATAGGAACTATTTATTAACTGTATAGCTCAATTGAAACCTCTATAGAGGTTCTGGCACAGTCAGGAAACACGCATTGATAATGGTACGGGATGGCTTAATTGTATCGCTTCATATGACATTTACCCCATTTTCTATTAGTAGTCATGCTACTTTAGACTACTGACGTTGTGCAACATGCTTCTCCGTAATAGAGTCTCTCGTTGCTTTTGCGCTTGTTGTCCGTATCGGCACCGAGGATTGCTAACAGATTATAGGTCAAAAAATTGACCCAATGACGTAGACACCTAAAGGTCCCGATTGATCCTCGAATTTTTATAGGTCAGAAAACTGACCGACCGACGTAGACATTTGCGGGCTCATATGCCCAAAAGGTTTCAGTTGCGTCTTTAGCTGTAGGAACTCTGGAAAAAAGTAAAAATATTAACTGTATCATGAGGCAATTATGCAACATCCAGTAGATTTGTGCATCTGCCGCTAGGCTGTTTCCGTGAGCATGACATGAGTTGATTGATTAAACCTCAAGACTTCCGTAGAAGCTATTAAACCGTTTTCGCTTTTCATAACTTAGTAAACACCGTTGATGACATCTTACTTTGAAACTTGTATTTGCAGAACTTGAAATTGTCCTTCACTAATTCTGGTTCCTCATATATGTCGGATTCTGTTATTGCGATCCCCGATTGAAGTTTAGCCATAGCAGATTGAAACCCCCACGACAGAAGTGTGAACAGAGGTTCTTGATCTTGAGGCTCAATTTCGTCAAGATCAGCGAACGATAATGCCTCTTGCTGTTTTTGTGCGGCAATAACGATGAATTCGTCTTTAGGTGAATACTGCCCGTCACGGAAATCCATCATGTCGTTTACGGCTGCGATGTCTTCAATAAATTGTTCGGTTTCAATTTTCGCCCAGTCAACGGTTGAAAACCAGTCATGATTTCGAAATTCCTCAAATCGCCCTGAAGTTATACGCTCTGTAACGTCCGAGATGGTAATCCAGCGGTAGGTACAATACTGTCTAGATAGTACGAGTATTGCTCGTAACGATAGTATTGCAATATGGGCAAAAAAAGTACTTACGCATAGGGTCTTTGATGAGTAATCGCTTGGTGAGCTCTTCATGAGCAGGCTCCCCCAAGCCATAGCCTACATCACCTTCCCGAATCTTTTCTTTGAGAGCTTTCCTGGTGCCTGCTCGGAAAGGAAGTTTTCCCGCGCATAGCCGATACGATGTCACACCTACCGCCCACCTAAAGGACCGCGTTCATATTAAGGCTATGCAAGTGTGTCGACAGTTTGCCCGCGTACATGCCATAAATCAGCAAGAGATTATTTCTGTCACTAAAAAACACGTTTACTTTATCTACCAGAATAATCCTTACCAGTCAATTGCTCTTCCATAGGGTTTCTTATCAAGAATTTCTGGAGGTAAGAAATATAACGTTCCAGCGGACTCAGCATCGTCGAATTCGTTATGCGATTTCCTTATATAGCTGTTAATGTGCCCATTGATAAATCTGCCTGCACTGATCTTACAAGTATCAAAATCGATCAGCTTAAGTTTACCACCCGGTGCGATCATCAAGTTCGACGGCTGGAATAGAAAAAACAACTCAATGATACCCACACCAGCCGTTCTAATAATAACAGCTGCTTACAAAAAATATCTTTCACTAACCATATATAATAGAATGGCATCTGAAGGGATGGGCTTTGTAAGAACGTAACCGTACGCTGTGAACCAGCATCGACGATCCACTTACAAGCAGAGAGATTGGCTGTGTACCTTGACATCACGATGAAGGAACCCACGATAGTGAAGGTATTGTAGGGCAAGGCCAAGTTGTGCCATGATCAATTTATTGACTTTATCGCTCAATCGTGTCGATTTCAGCAGTTTATGAAGGTCGACACCCCGAATGTACTCCATGAGCGTGACGTAGGCCTGGTCGCTACGAAAGCAAGTGTGATAACGCACTAAAAACGGGCTGTTAACCATACTTCCTACAAGTTTATCGGCGCTCGCCTGTCTGGTTGTTTTGAATTTGTTACATGGAACCAATTTGCCGATGACCGAGATCCCACCCACTTGAACTTTGTAGATGGCACCAAAACCGCCAGCACCTGTAAACATGTACGTGCAAACGAGTACGACACTAATCTGCGCACGGTTACGTTGTTCTTGATTCACTTTCTGGCTAGACTTACTCCTAGATGGAAAAATCCCATCCCCGTTAGGTCGTCCCAGTAAATATCATTCGGCTCCGGCACGTTAACTTTTGTCAACGAGCAACCTTGTTGCACTAGACTTACCACTTACCCGATTAACTAAGGAATAGCATGGCACACACCAGATATTACGCTCACTAAAGGACTAGCCATCTTCTTTCTTTATCACACAATTGTAAAGTAATAGCTAATTTGTTTCATTTCGCCATTATTATGGGGCAACTAACCCATTAACCGAAGCTGGAAAATATGCCTCAGCTTTGGCAGGATAACATATGCCGCGTTAGCATCAGGGTCCTGTAGTATGGCTGCATACATATCAACAACAGCTTGCCAATTGGTTTTCCGCATTCGCGAATTGTGCTCTATTCGCATCGCGAACTCCGACATAATCTGCAATAATTTATGCAGCAGCCTTGCCGCTACAGCTGCTGCCCGATCATCACGCCCAATAAAATACTCGTGAAGGCAGGCCAAATTGCCGAGATCCTCTCGGATATCTAGGAAATTCAGCCGCTTCCTATTAATTCGTTCATAATAGTCGATGGCGACGAGGCAGTGCTGTTCCTGCGCGAAGTGCTCGCGTGGGAAACGTGTCATTACCATGGGTCGTTCCGTTCGAACAAAAATTTCTAGTCCTGCTTGAACAGACGATACGAGGCTTTCGGTAAAAGGGCAAGCAGTCATTGTCGAAAGCCAAATGAAAATTAAAAAAAAAACAAAACAAAAATTAGAAGCTGAAAAATTTCCGATAGCCGTAATAGGAATCGTGCACGAGATCGGCATTACTCCCGTTTATAACAGCATACAAAATTTCAGATAAAAAAAAGTTCAACGTTACTACGTAGTGCTCTAGGTTGTTTGGGATACAAGTAAAGCCTGCGCCTTGGTTGGAGCGCATCGGGGTACGGTTAGTCCTGTTTAAGTACGCATTTTACATTGATGCCACAGCTGGATATGTAAAGATTCAGGAGAAATTCACCGCTCACCTGGGTTGTTCATCGTGCAGCTTCTTAATGGCATATCGTATCGTATGTTTCAATGCATGCGTTGTTCTTACGGCGGCGCCTGTAACAGCTTTAGCTGATACTGCCGCTGGGTCTGTATCAAACAAAGAACAGTAGCAATATATTAGATAATCAGCCGCAGTTTAACGCCACGACTTCGCCATTTTCAGATTCAACATTGGATGCGCTTCATATATTGTCCTTTGAACACGACAGTGTCTCGCTAGTGTACGCTTACATCATACACTAAAAATGACTCGTATCATACTACCGTAAAGCTTAATAACAGATACCGTTAGCTGCAGGTAGATGCTTACGATGACCAGCCAGCAAGTAATAACTGTTAAGCAAAGCTTACCGAGAAAGTTGAAAGATTCGAGGCAAGCTGAGCTGCTCAATCCCTTCAGCAGCTGACTCAAGTACTTTACAATACAATATATCCGAGTATATCCGTAAATAAATGTATTGGGAACGCGTGTAGCGTTATACATCGATGTGAAATGTCTGGATTCGTTCGTCGAACGAACACCTCCATTTACGTCACTGTCTAAGAGTTTTCAAAGGGTTTGCACAAAAAACCGCAATCAGCCAAAAAAACCACGCCTTCATGTGATTGTTACTAAAGCCCAGAGGCCTCCAGAGATGAACCTTCCCAGACAAAGTAAACACTTCAAAGTTACGTCCAAGTTTTCTGGCCTAGCCACTTTGTATCTAAGCTAACTCTCCCTATCTGACAGGCCGTGCTGCACATTATATTAAACGTATCCTAGCATCTTCCAGGTCTCGTGTTAGATATGTACATCGTTTTATTTTTTTCTCTAGATATATTTATATCTAATACCAAAAGTAAAACTTCGCCGCTAAAAAATGATTTAATACCACACAGACCTACGAGGTTTACCTTGTTCAGGGTCGTATCTTATAATCGCTTCCGGACTTAAGCAAGCGGTCTCCATATTGGTCATCTGAAGCACCAAGAGAATTTACAGATTTCGAGGAACGCGAAAAGATTACTACGCATTTCGATCGAGTAGCCCGTTCAAAACAAAAACTGGCAACGGATGAATATATAATCACCCGACTACCACTTCCCGATTCCAAGTGGCAAAGCGGTGGCTATAATTTAGCGATCTGGCGACAAATTCATATTGTCATATGGGCCAATTTCGCGCAATCGAGGAACGAGGACAATTTCCAAGAGCGAGTGAGCGCAAGTTAGACGAAGCTTAGAGCTCACCTTAGAACCGCATCTGGTGCAGTGAGGGCACTACGGATTCATCTTCTATCTAACTGTCAACTTACCGGACGTTTGCAGGATCACATTTTTCGTATCTTTCACTCCGGCTTCGTTAATCTCAGGAATCAGCATATCTTTGTCTGATGGCTTTTGGTAAGCGGCATTGACATTATTGGACGAACGACTGGCTGCTTCGCCTGCTGGTTCCATTGCGGCATTGCTTTAAATTGCACAAAAACAGAAGTAAAATTGACGAATTTTCCGTGCAGTGGGAAAATGTTAATGATTAATAACCTTTGGCAGTGAGAAATATGTCTTGTATTTATGGCGCTATTGCAGAGAGCTACCGTGGGGTTGCTTATACAGTTCGTAAGTGCTGGTCAGACGTGTTTATAAACATAACGATTATAAATTATTATTCGTCCACTCGCGTTCACATCACAGGTGTTCAGGTAATAACATTGTTCAACAGCACTGTTATAATACTGTGTCGAATCGTGCCTGCGTCTCACTTGTGTTCGCTTTCCTCAAATAAACCAAATCTATTAAAGCACACATTGTTGACCTCATTAATTTAATTAACTAATTAATTACAATACAGTTCTTAGTTTCGTCTTTCTTTGGCGACACGCAAAACATTAATGTCTAATAGCTCTGTAAATATGGCAGCTCATAAGCCAGGGCGAGCCTTTCATTAAGAAGATATTCTTAATGAGATTAGTAGAATTCATCAGGCTTTTGCTATCTGCTGCTTGTCTATTTAGCTTTGTGAGTTAGAACTAAAGGTCTATTGCAATGAAGGCTCAAATTTTGCTTGCAGATTATCTTATTTTTATTACAGCTGCTTGTTATCATTCCAGACTTAGTAAGTTGTGCCGATGAAAACGACTGGAAAAACATGTATGGCTTCTATACCTGTCTACTCACTGAACGACAATTATAATTTTGCCTCAAAGCTTTTGGATTTCGTCGCAAAAATTAAATTTGACTTCATCGAGAATTTTTTACTTCCCATTGGGTTTCTATTTAGCAAGTAAGTTCCATAAAAACATCTCAGCGGTTTTATCTCGAATTCATCGACCAACAATAACGTAGTCTATATTAGCATGTAGAACAAAGGAAGTACATAATTTGTCATTTTATTACGAGTAAGATTTTACTTTTATTTTTTAAATATTCGATAGACTATCAACGTACTATTGTTTTTTAAAAGTAGTATATCTACAAGGAAGACATCCTATATTCAGTGAAAAACGTATGTTTTTTAGAATTAAATAACGAATTCAACGATTGAACTTGCAGGTGGTAAAATTTTGTCTCCATTAGTCAAACAATCACAAATTGAAAATGAAAAGTGTACCCGAATATCTGCGTGTAGCTTGCTTCTACCTAAATCTGTTTAGATGCGGTTTATCGAAACGAAAAGTTAGCGCGATGTCGATTTGTGTTCCCTATGGTGGGTGTACTGAATATCAATATTTAATCCATTATGAAAAAAAAAGCACTATTTTTTAATGAGATGCGCCAGGGTTGCAGTGAAGTAAAACATCTCTAGATTTTCCTTTTTCAATGAATGCACTTCTTCGTTTTAATTTTTCACTTGCTTTCCTTTGTGTGATAATCGAACCCTTAATATTAACTTGTTTAAACGTGCAGACGACGTTTAATTTCTCAAGTGAATGTTCGCGATTCAACCCTACCGTTGTTAATCGCTGAACTGTGTTGCGGAGGTATTACCTGTCGAGCAATTTGAATTTCGCCGCCAAACCGAGCCAATATTTACAACAGCTGCCTATATTTCCGGCTATCTGTGGCCCTCGAAGTGGCCCGTCAGCTGTGATCGTTGTACGATGCTTAGAATTGTGTTTATTACTCGTTGATAACCACCGCACTGTGCGTGAACCAATTTTCAGTAGTTGATTTGTTCGATTCTTTTTGGGCTACGGTAAGTAGTTTAGACACGGTCAGTTATTCCTGGGCTATTGTGCTCAAGAAAGAAAACATTAGTTGAATTTCACATTTGGGTCGGTCTTTAATGCCTGATCGCCTTTTTTAAATAGTGCACTGAATAAACATTGACGTCATACATATTTAGTGTAGGTTATAGACTGTTTATTTTTGAAACTCCTAGAAAAGCCGACTCTGCAGAAGTGTGTCGTTACGTTTTAAAACCGTCATGAGGAACTGTGTCTCTTGTGTGTTTAGAATAAGTGCATTGGGTTGGTCCAAGCGATTGATACATTTTAGTAACCGGATCTCTACCGGGCATATTAGGATTGGCAATAACAACTAAGATCGGAGGAAATTGTATATTGTAGTTATTAGTTGTCTTAAGCGGAGTTGGTGTATCAAGCCTTCTAATAGGCGCTATATTAAAATTAACTAGAATAAACTGAGTTTAATAATGTTACTCGGAACCGCCGTTCTATGTATTATAAGTTTGGGCGTTGTTCTATATTAGCGTTCGTGACTATTTTCGTTTGATAGTTACTAACCATCTCTCTACCATATCTCAAGCCATTCGTAGTAGGATCTAGAAATGACCGCTACGGTGCACTCGAGTAGTCAGCCGAAGAATGGAGGTAAAAAATGACTTTGCGAGGACAGCAGGCCGAGACACTTTATGACGGCGCATTGTGAGTGCTGTTGCGGGCGTTCCCATTTTCTAGTAATATTTCAATCACCCTTGAAGTGATCCAATCACCATTACTGTGTATGGCCTACAAATGCTTTGCTACCTCTACTTGTAATAAAACCTTGTTTCAATCGAATTCATGATCTTCTAGAAATAAGTTTAAAGCTCTTCGATCATGCTGTTATAAAACAGTATGCACTTGCTTTCCAACTGGACTTTTTTTCGCTACGACGATGTCGGCTTCGTGTCAGTATCCCTATGGCCTGTGCAAGGATTTCCCAACCCAACCCAACCCGCCCTGCTGCTACTTCCGATGCCGTTATTCTAAGTGCCTGATACGGCCAATTATTTTTAGATGAGCTAGCAACAACGGTTTGACTATCCAGAGTTGAGTGTAAAGCGGCAGCTGCTTCCTGTTACTGTTTTCGCTTGTCAATGCAGAGGCCCGGCAATGTGGTCTCTAGTAGGCTGTGATTGAGAGTAGCTTGCTGGCATTGCTACAGTTGAAGACCAGCTTCCAGCGTCCGTTGCTGTTAGTCTATTACAAGGTAAAGCTGCACGCTTTCTGCTCGCCTCACAATACGCGCAGTGTAGCGGCATTTGCTGCAGCAACGCTTGACACACCGGCCTCAGAGGTCGTCGTGAAGATAGTTAGCTTAGACTACTGACGTCGGTTATGATTGCACCATCGAGGCCGAAGGCGTTGCCAGCGTTACGCTGAATGCACACGGCCGATGTATCGGGTAGCCGTATTGAAACAGTATAAATCGCCTCTATCAGTTGACCTAGCTTTGTCGGTTAAATTGGATTGGTGGGTGTCTAATTTTAAGATCTATTATCTAATCGATAGTGGCATAGTATAAGATTATCTATGTATATCCTGTAGATCCATACGGCATAGATGTTAATGGTAGAAGTGTATTTGTTTGAGTTTTTCAGTAAAAAGAAAATTTCATGTTTATCATTGGGTATCTAAGAGTGATAGCTAGGAGAAAGCATATTTCCTTATAGTAAGGAAAGGCTTAGTAAAGGAAGATATAATACTATATTAATTTTAGATAGTTCTTTTGTTCGCAAAGCTTATCCTTTTGCGTACCTCAATAATCAAGTTATTATAATATGGAGTATTGCAGACGTACCCCATCTATACTGAGTAATTATTGTCACCTATAATTAAGTTTATATGATTCATGGTATTTTCATTTAAATAGGTAGATTTCGCAGTTCAAAACCCATTTGTAAATTTAATTTAATTAATTAATTAAATTAATGAATTTGAATTAATAATGAATTGAATTTGAATTAAGAAAATCTTGACAGAGTACTCCTACTGATGACAAACTGCTACCATAAGAATTATTCGCTTAGAGCATCTACCGGTGTACACTGAATTAGGGTTTACTGCCGAGTTCAAGAACTTTTTTAACTTATGATGTGCGTTTTTAGTTCGAATGCGACTCGCTCCAGTGATCATCTATCAATGCCCTCAGCAACAAACTGTCTGTCGAAATTAGATGCTGTCTATCGAAGCTACTTACTCACACGGTATTTTGTCAAAGGATGGGGTGACCCCGCGAATATACAGAAGTAAGTTTCAGGGAACTACTTACGAATTGCTAAATTTACTGTGTAAGCTGATTATAAGTTATGGTGTAGCGAAATCAGTCTAATTTTATAAGAATTTATTAATTCTAACATTGTGGTAACCTCGTCATGCCGATTTGCGAACACAGACTGTATTGTCCCTAGACTAAGCTGCAATATGCTTATCCCAGGCTTGGAGGTCTAAAATCCAAAGCAAGAGAGTTTATTTGTCTATACACATCGGACGGAATAAAATTCATTGTTTGTTCTTAATTGATCGTTGAAATATTTAATACCTGTTCAAAAATAGGCCCATCGCAAAAACGTTGCTCTCGAAATACTATGGGTACTAATAGCTAACGTACCACACACTCGTTATTTATAATTCACATCAATTTTCGAATTCGTTGCGCTTGTAGGATATGCAAGTTTCGTAAGATTGTAAGCGACCGGAGAAAATGTACTCAGTTAGTCCAGGGAAATTACCCGATACACATTGATAGAGAATGGAAGCGTGGAAGTTACCGACTTATAGAAGGACACTTTATTTCGCCGCTTGTTCACTACATGGCTGATATCGTGCCACAGGAGAGCCACAAGGCATATTTTCAGGTTGGGAGAATTTTAAATAGTTACGGAGACCGTTGGCCGAGAACACGTACTAAATCACATGCAGGAAAGATTCTAGTAGATTGCCCACGGCATAGGGTAGTTGGTCGCGCTGGGGCATAGAACTTATCGGCGTAAGTCTTTAGCTTTAATCTGGTTGGACACATGCGAATGGATGCGCTGCCCACCTGCGAAAAACTACCAAAGTCAATTATTACACTGACGTATTTTTCATGCAGTATAGAACTTACTTTATTCAGCCTTAATCATTACGTGCGATCCTGTATGAGAACCTGTTGGCCTTACGAATAGTTAACCTAGTAGAATGCAAAACAGATTTTGTTCTATGGTTCTATTTCTTTTATTCAGATATGTCCATGTGAAACAATCATGATCTCGAGAAAGTGTTTGTTGTTCATTTATGAATAGTTTTTTTTAAAAACCATATATTCCAGGATTTATTATAAGAAGGCTATTTCTTCTTTCTATAAATGGGGTGCGTGTGTGTGCTATGTTTGCGCAACAGCTGCTCGTACCAAATGAGTGGCGTCATCCAAAGCTGCGTCCGGTGTGTCTTCAGCTTGCGGGAACAGGAGATCATCGATTCTGGAGACGGACGATGTTTATCGCTAAGCCTCTTCTAAGTGAATATGGGATAGGTTCTATCATGTTAGAGAACCCTTATTATGGCTATCGTAAACCTAAAGCTCAGGTAGGAGATTGTTAGTTTTCGTAAACATTCTGGAGATTCTTTACTTATATTACGGCTAAATCTGTTTTCTTGTATAGAACCTGACTCGATGCTCTATCTGGCTGCTATGATCTAAGACTGATAAAGATTATTTTGTTTCGATTTATTGACATTTAGCATAATGTCGGTCGAAAACTCTACTAGCCATTGTTAATTGAACCGATTTCAAATGCGTATTTACGCATGCGCTTTTTTTAAGGTCCGCTCCGTTTTACAAAATGTTTCGGACGTTTTCGTAATGGGCGGGTGCTTAGTCCTGGAGAGCATCGCTCTACTCCGCTGGTGTGAACAACAGGGCTATGGACCCCTCGCGCTCACGGGCATTTCTATGGGGGGACATGTACGTATTCTTATGATTTTTTAAATTTTTAATAATAATAATAATGTTCGACTTGGCTGCAGTTTAAAACCAGCTAATGCTTCTAATAAATGTTTGCGTACCCTTTTCTCGGCCGTTTCTTTCTCAGATGGCTTCGTTGGCCGGTGGAAGTTACGACCGACCAGTTGGTATAGTTCCATGCTTATCGTGGACCACCGCGTCATGCGTATTCACGCAGGGCGTGATGGCCAATGCTATCAACTGGGATCTCCTTCAAATTCAGTTCACCGGAGATGAAAAATTTAAAGCAGAGCTTAGCAAAATGGTGGAGACCCCAGAACCTAAAGATGTAAGTGTTATTATTACGGTTAGGTTTTCTACCGAACAAATAAAATACGTACGCTTAATGTAATTTCATACAATTTGTATTGCCTACTTCAACTTTGTTACCTCAGATGAGGACCTTCCTCGCTGGGCAAAACTTTGCCCGCCAAGTTTCGCACGAAATTGCGTCGCACGACCGTCGAGAGAGAAGCCATGTGGTCATCGATGGAGTTGATGACGCTGCTTGGGTAAGTGAAACTCAATAAAATCGTTTTGGGCTAGACCTAGCGTAAGCTTCTAAATGGATTTTTAAAAACGAATTTTAAGTATAACAAATGTTTTATTTTTATTTTTAGTTTTTTTATTTAGGTTTATTATTAATAAAGGAAATTGCGTGATTTATAGTCTTTGATAATGTCTATTAATTTGTTTCATGATTATTATCTTCTCAATTTGCTTTATTGACATTTGTTATTTTATCCCCGTGGATCAAAACAGGATGAAACTTCGTTGAGCACTACCTTGGCGCGGCTTGTGGAGAGCTTGCCAATTGAATTTCTTCAGTTACGTTCGCCGCCATCACGAGAAGAAGTCGTCGAAGCTTGGAACTTCATGCGGGGTATAATGGATGAATGCACACACCTCGGAAATTTTGGAGTACGTTGACTTGCTGCAAACCTACATTAACCTAATGAACGCCGCTCTGAAACCAATCAAGCTCTTTCTCAACTTTACATTTATTGGTTTCAAATAAGCCGGTTACTGGAAATTTTTAAATAGCCAGTTTACATTTATGTGCGCTTTATAAGAATCTGAGCGGACTGCTTGTGATGGAAGAGCCATATACCAAATTGAAAAAAGGTTTCTCATAATCAACATTTTTTATAGGAATATTCATTTTATACCCCTGTTACAGACCCCAGTGGATCCAACGTTAGCAATCTGTGTCGCCGCTACCCGAGACGCCTACGTCCCTCGTGAAGGCACGCGTGACATTCGTGATATCTGGCCGGGATGTGAAGTGCGCTACATTGACTGTGGCCACGTCACCGGATTTGTTTTCAAACAGCACCGTTTCCGGTAGATATGTTTGCCGCGACTAAGTTTCGCTGCTCAATTATTATCTTATGCTTATGTAGTCAATTTCTAATAAAAAATACATTTGATCTTTAAATATACAGCGTTTTACTGAAATCTTTTAAATCAAATAAAAGTAATATTACCGCGATTTTATATATGCTTTACGCATGATGTATATTTAATGGCTTCCTTTTTGCTTTTAGGAAAGCGATCGCAGACTCGTTAAATCGAACAGCAATAAAGTATTACTCAGAACATCTGTTTGGCGTGAAGGACATTGGGGATAACACACAGCATAACCGAGTGGAGAGAGCGTTAGTCCGATAGCTTCAAGGCAAGGCCATTCACAAAATCCTTGCCATTATGCTATCAATGCTTGACGACACTTCTTTGCTCCAGAAACAAGTGTAGGTTCTATTAAAACCGAGGACAGGTAGCTATTACACAATTTCCTTTCCTTACTGCTTATGTTCCGACGGTTACGAAATGGAAACATACCCTGAAAGTGGGTACACTAAGTGTTTTATATAGCACAATGCGAAATCGTGTTTCCACTGTATACTGAATGTAGCAGTCGTTCGATGAAGATAGAAGTTGATTTATAGAAATATTTCATTCAATATCAAATGACCTACCGTTTTGCAGTTTGTTTGCTTGTTATTTAGATGTGAAAGTGTTTAAAAAGCTTTTCATTTGTTATTGAATACGTTGTTGTTTATTAGATATTCTTTTGTACTTGACAAAATGCGAGTTTTTGACCCCTCAATTTTTGACTTAATCGAGCTTTTATGGTCTGTGATTATTCGGATGGGCATCTATTAACAGTCTATTAACAGATAGTAGCCACGATCGTATAGTTTACGTTATAAGATGGCAGTGCTTCTATTTTAAAGCATCATTTAAAAATATTTCATCCATAAGCGCATGGCAAGCAATATGAGGCTAGACACATACTTTAATGATTTGTCATTTTTTAAATGCAATAGCTTTCTACCTTGAAGGATATTGTACAGTCAGGGGAGCTGTAACGTATGAGACAGTACTAGCTATGCTGTTTTGGATGTAGGTTTAAGAGATCGGTAGATAAAAACATAGTCAATAGTAGGGTCTGGAAAGAGGTTTGACTCTTAATGAATTGGCGCAGGTCAGGAAAAACTGCCGCTAGAAAGGAAAATCCGTTTGAAATCAGTATGAACTGTTGGGTGATTGTGTGCGCGCACGTAACCGTTTATATGGAAGAAAATATTTGAGTGTATAAGGACACAAAGTCGGGTAGTTAGCCAAAAAATGACTAATCAGCTGATTATTCAAGTGACGACGACCATTACGCGGGAAGAAAAATCATTTCAGCAAGGTACTAACAGGTCTGTTCTTTCGGTTTTTGGTTGACTAGCTTAAAAAATATTTTCCCCCACATTACTTGTGCGATACGATAATAATAATAAAGGTTAATGTGATCAAAGTTAAGCATGCAAAAGGGAAACGGAAAGGGGTAACGTGTGGTGTTATATTGATTGTTTGTAATCTGTAAATGGTAATAGATACAGCGTGGAGCAAACACTGATCATTTCCAGCAGACAAATAAAACGTGGTCAATGTCCGTGTTTTAAATGGATTTACCTTTTGTCTTCTTCATAAGTTTGTAAATTTACATAGACTGTCGATGAATTATATATATATATATATA